CCTCCGTGGGCTGCCGGGGGACAGCCGGCCTCACCGTGGGCTGCACCAGGGGCTGGCGGGGAATCTCTGCTCTGGCGCCTGGAGCACCTCCTCCTCCTGCTGCACTGACCTGGGGGTCTGCAGGGTTGTTGCTCTCACATAGTCCTCTCTCCAGCTGCAAGTGCTGTTGTGCAGCAACTTTTCCCCATTCTTAACTCTGTTATCCCAGAGGCGCTACCTCCATTGCTGATGGGCTGGGCCTTGGCCAGTGGCGGGGGGGGCTTTGGGGCGGGTGGGCCCGGGCCCTTCCAGAAGCTTCTGGCAGCTTCTCACAGAAGCCACCCCTGTAGCCCCCCACTACCAAAACTTTGCCATGCAAACCCAATACAATGAGACAGTATAATTCCTCCTCAAGATTCTTGGCTCACTGGAAAAATAGACCGCTGTGTCTTTGCGCTATAGCAAAGACAAAGCTGATCAGCTTCTCTGATTGTCTGACCCTGAGGGGGTGCATGGCCGTGTCCTGGGTCTCTGTGGTGTGAAGAGGAATGCCCTTTGGCTCTTCTGAGTGAAGAGGTTGCTTTTGCACCTGCTCCTGTGAGGGTCCATGGGGCTTTTGGAGCTCTGTCCTCAAATGTGTGTGGACATGGGGTATACATAAAGAGCAGATGGAAAGCTTGTTGTGTTCTCCTTTACTCCTAAATGCGTTGATCTGTATGTACTGGTTTTGTATTTTTCAAGGTTTTTGAGAAATTTGTATTTCTTAACATCTCTGTGTTTTTTTAACATACCACTGATTGTATTCCTCCCATTATAAAGGAATTAATTTATACTTAACTGAGAAAATTGGAATTAAATTGGAATAAAATTGGAATTAAGAATAGGGGTGAGGAGGATTGACAAGAACTTAGAACATGAGTATGTAAAAATAAAATTTTTGTTACATAAATTTTGTATTGAATTTTATTTTAACAATAAAAAGCAAATTCAACAGTTCAACAATTTCAGCAAATGCCATGTGTTTTCTTTTCATAGGGCTGGACACATCACTGAGACATATTGAACAGAAAACAAAGATATGCTTCCGTGTTTCTGTAAAAAACAAAGATAAGCCTGGAAAGCATAATGAGACCCCTTACAGACATCTATGGCTTTGCTTGTGTCTTTACATTCATGCTGTGGAATAATATCCAGCCAACTGTGGAAAATGAATTTACTGCAAATTATTCAAGCAGTTTGCTAACTAATGTTCCAAAAAACATTCCAGTCCATATTCATGTATTAGATTTATCACATAATAGGATCTCTGGACTTAGTATCTCAGAATTTATTTCTCTTTCCGACCTTCAAGTATTAAATCTTTCTCATAATCTAATTACAGAGCTTGACTTTAGTGTCTTCATTTTTAATGAAGATTTAGAATATTTAGATTTATCTCATAATAACATTTTGAAAGTTTACTGTCAAACTCTTGCATATCTTAGACATTTAGATCTTTCTTTCAATAAGTTTACTGCCCTGCCCATCTGTCCGGAATTTGGGAACATGTTTCGTTTGGAGTACCTAGGATTAAGTGCCACGGTAATACGAAGGTCAGACTTCAGATATATCATACATTTGCAGCTGCACAGTGTCTTCCTAACCTTAGAAGACTTTTCTTTCTATGAGCCTCAGAGTCTGACAGCCTTGAATACAAGGAGCCTCCACATTGTTTTTGCAGCAAACCAAAACTTCAGTTTTTTCCTCTTGTATGATGGAATGAGCACTTCAGAAAACTTGAAAATAGTTAACTTAAGATATACCTTGAGCTACAAAGATTTCCCTTCTCCTTCTTTAATGCTTCTGAAGAAAATCAAGACAACAGATCTCACGCTTGACACTGTGGACTTACAATGGACTATCATTTTGCAAATTTTCCTCCTTATTTGGTATTCACCTGTGGAGCATTTGACCACGAGAAATTTGACTTTTCGGGGACCACTGGAAGAGCTGACTAAATATGAATTTCTACCCTTATTAAGCTCTATGGAACAATTAATCTCTTTGGGTGGCTCAATGAAAGTGCTAACTTTGGAGCATGTTCGTAATAAGGTTTATTATTTCAACCAGGAGATTCTATACAGACAGTTTTCAGAGATGAATATTGCCAGTTTGACAATATATGATGCATATATGCCACACATGCTTTGCCCCAATAGAACAAGCTCGTTTCAGTATTTAAATTTTTCTCACAATGCCCTGACAGATGAATTGTTCCAGAATTGTGGCACTCTGACAGATCTGAAATTACTTATTTTGCAGAGGAATAAATTTGAGAGCCTTCC